CCAGCCAGAGGGTTTTCCTGCTCCAGAGTCTCTAGTATACAGAGTGGACAATTAGTGGTAATCTAACTTAACAACTGGAAAAGATAGTTCATCTGGTTTCAAAATACGTTGGAGAAGGCCACTGAAAATAAAGGAAGCCCCTCTATGATGATAATGAATGATGTTACTACAATCTGTCAAATTTGGGGCAGTAAAAAGATGGCCATATTACATTATTGCTATAGCTCCTATTAAGCAGCTCCTACCTCTGGATGGATATAGCAGCCAATAGCAGAAAGAGAATTGTGTGTTCTGGGAGTTTACACATCTGTATGCTATGAACACTTGCTAACACAAGATATTTTGCTCCCTTCATGAAAAGACATGGCAAGATCACAGAAATTTCAGATGAAAACGTGATTCCTCAGGCCTGCAATGTGCAGGGAATGAATGGTCAGGTGGGGTTGTGGTTTCCATCAGCGATGAGATCCAGTGACCTAGAGATGTGGTAGATGCAGCAAGGTGGAGGTGCAGTGGGAAGAGGAGATTTGGAACACAATCGTGTGTCTCAGTTATCTAATGGTGCTGCTGTAATAGAAATCCCACAATTTAGCAAACAGAAATTTATTCTCAAACAGCTTAGAAGTCCAGAAGTTCAAAGCCAAGGTACTGGCTCTAGAGGAAGGTTTTCTTTATCAGCTCTAGAGGAAGATGCTTCTTTGAGCTTTTGCTACTGGGCAATCTTCAGGTAACTTGGCATCTCTCTTCCCCCATCTCTGCTCGTTTGCTTGTCCTCCTCTGCTCTTTCTATAATTTGTAAGAGACTGACTCAAAACCCATTCTACACGAGTCCTGTCTCATCACATAACAAAGAACCCATTCCCAAATGGGATTATAACCAAAGGCATAGAGATGAGGATTCACAACACATATTTTTTGGGAACACAATTTGATTCATAGCAATGTTCAATCCATCAGACTGAGCAGGGGCAAAGGAAATCAGACTGGACCTTCAAGGGTTTCAGAACAACCCAAGGAGACAGAAAATGCAGACTATAGGGAGGAAATACAGATTCTGCGACTTAGTTTAAGAGGTCTCACTTGGCATATGGTTTTCCACTCTTGACTCCTCAACCACTTCCCAATAATAGGAGGAGGATGTTCGTAAACCAAAAGTAAGCAGGATAGAAAAATAAATATTGAAAGAGCCAAGGAAGATGAAACAAAATCACTTACTATATAATATTTGCCATTGCTCTGCAATCAACCTAGTCTTTTCAGAGGAGATGGTGTGAATCTTGAGGTCCTCAGGTTAGAGTAGAGGAGACAAGGAATGGCCAAGAGAGGGCTGAAAAAAGTGAGTTCCTCCTGATCCTTCTTGAGGATGTGTTTTCAGTGGTCTCTTGACTCAAAGAACAATTAGGCATAATGATCATTTCTAAGAGGGTCAAAATAATTTTATGTACTTTGCACTGTGAATTAGATAGCCGGTATCTTATCACTTGCCTTTAACATGGGGCAGCTTGGTGATTAGCATGAGGCAGCCTGGGGTTGGGCTAGCAACAGCTACTCAGCTTCATTTAATAATAATAGTAATACTAATAACAACTAAAGTAACACCATTATTAGTCTTTGCCATGTACAGTCATTGTACTTGGCGTTTTACACATGTGATCTAATTTAATCCTCACATGCCCCTGGACAGTTACCATGGCAACCCCCACTTGATAGATGAGGAAACAGACCAAGGGGTCAAATAACTGAATGATTCTACCTCAGCCTCTGTCTGATTCAAAAACCACTTTTCCCTTGTGCATTGAAATCAAGCAGAAAATTGTGGAAGTGTGCAAGAGCCTGAGGAAAGCAAAATGGAATTTGAATGTGTGGGGAAGATTAGTCACGGCAGGCAGGAAAGCTCCAATCTGTCCCCAGAGGTAGCAGGAGAAACTTCATCACTTTTGTTATTCACATGGAAATTAGACACAGTCCTAAAATATAGCTTAGGTGAGGGGGAAGAGCCCAGTTTGGGATGGAGGACAGAACCCCAAGCACAGTGACTACACATGAGCAGGTCTGGGTGGACAGTGGAAGCCAGTCTGCCTCTTATTCCTTGTTGTAAGAAGCTAGTCACCTTGATGTACAGTAGGTCGTTCTAGATTTTGAGTGCCTGATGAGACAAGTGAGAGGGGTTAAAAGGTACCTGAAGTGTTGGAACAACAGTATCAGTGCTCTTCCATAAATACCTGGTATAGCATGAAAATGGTTCAGCATGCTCAAAGCTTCAATTAAATGAGGCGGAGTGTGAGAGAGAACTGGGACAATTGTAAGATGTGCTGTGGGTAGCCATCTCCTCCCTAGGTGGGGCCATTTGCAAATATGCCCTGCCCAGGTGTGAATAACCTCAAGAATCCCTTCCTCTGAGTCGGCACTGCATCCTAACTGTTTAAGGTGTGACCAAGTACTCATCTTGTAGCGGACATAGATCAGAGCTAACTGCCAAAGCATGCATCCTTCTCACCTCCATTACAGTCCCTGAGTGTTGCGAATGTTTAAGTGCTCCTCAACATGTCTAAAGGTTGGTGGTTCAAATCCACCCAGGGGTGCCTTGGAAGAAAAGTCTGGTGATTTGCTTCCAAAAGATTACAGCCTTGAAAGTCTTATGAAGTACAGTTCTATTCTGCAACATAAAGGGTCATCAGTATCAAAATCAACTCCATGGTGACTGGAGCTAGTCTATCTTAATTGCCTTAGTTTTATGATCAATGGGCTTCCTTCATCAACTCTGCTGAAGTTAAGGCTGGATGATTTTGTTTATCCATTAACATTTTAGTCTATGTGAGTTCCCATTCCCTTCACCTGGTGATTTTTGCATTTGCCTATGTCTGTACTGAATTCCGAAGAAAATCTGTGTAAATGTCATGCACAGGTCAAAGGCACATATGGTGGTATCTCAAGCTGCATCTATATAAACTCCCCCAAATTGTCATATGACACCATAGGAATTACAAAACTATGTCTGAGATCCATGATACATTCCCTAGTGTGAGGTATCAGCGGTAGTGATACAAGTCTGAAATGTTCCATCAGTAAGTGATCAGATCATTAAGCTTATTAGAAGAGGCTATGGAATGAGAGATATCATTGCTGATATCAGATATCAGAAAGCTATTTACCTGTGTTTTATTGACTACACTAACACATGGATCATAATTAATTAAGGATGATATTTCTAAGAATGGGCATTCTAGAACACTTATAATTGTACTCATTTAAAACCTGCATGTAGGCCAAAAGACTGTTGTTCAAACCAAAAAAGGGTATACTGCATGGTTTAAAATAAAAAAAGGCGTATGTCTGGGCTGTATCTGTTTACCATACTTATTCCATCTGTATGCTGAGCAAGGATTGGAAGAAGATTCACTGACAACCTGAAATATGCAAATGACACAACCTTGCTTGCTGAAAGTGAAGAGGACTTGAAGCACTTGTTGGTGAAGATCAAAGACTAGAGCCTTCAGTATGGATTACAACTCAACATAAAGAAAACACAAATCTTCACAACTGAAACAACAAACAACTTCATGACAAACCAAAATAATGAAATTGTCAGGGCTTTCATTTTACTTTGATCCACAATCAACACATAGAAGCAGCAGTCAACAAATAAAATGACATGTTACATTAGGCAAATCTGCTACTAAAGTAAAGCTGTCACTGTATGGAGTAAGAAGCACCTGATCCAAGCCATGGTGTTTCCAATCGTCTCGTATGTACGTGAAAGCTGGACAATGAATAAGACAGACTAAAGAAGCATTAATGCTTTTGAGATATGGTGTTGCTGAAGAATATTGAATATACACTGTGAACTGCCAGAAGAATGAACAAATCCGTGCTGGGAGAGAGAAGCCCAGCCAGAAAGCTTTTTAGAATCGAGGATGGAGAGACTAGATTTCACTTACTTTGTATATGCTGTCATGAGGGATCAGTCCCTGGAGAAGGACATCCATCATACTTGGTAGAGGGTCAGACCCAAAAGAGGAAGACCTTCAATAAGATGGATTGACACAGTTGCTGTCAATCACAGCACAATGGGCTGAAACACAGCAACTACTGTGAGGATGGTGCAGGCGGGAGCAGTGTTTCCTTTTGTTGTTATGGCCCGAAACTGACTTGAAGGCAATTAATGATAATGATCATTGAATACCAAATAGCATTATAGTAATAGAAGTGTGGCGCTCACATTTTATATCACACTCGGAATCAA